TATTTCATGAAAGAAGAAGTAATGTACATAAAGGTTGCTGAAGCTATTAAAAAACAGCAGAACTGGGACTTGAGTCGAATGTATTTACTGATTCTGAAATTCTGCATTTTGGAAATAGCTTTATTATGGTATAACTGATACACAACAAACTGCTCATACTTAAAGTGTATAATTTGGTAATATTTTACAGAGGTATAGACCTTTGAAACCATTAATACAATCAAGACAATGAATATATCCATCACCCTCCCAATTTTGCTTTTTTCCCATTTATTATCTCCTTCCTACCATTAATTCTTGTATCTTTGCAAAATAAGAAAACAAAGTCTTTTATATTTACTCATTAGATCCAAATATCTGTTTAGTATTATTTTGCTTTTATATGAAAGACTTTTTTAAACATTTCTTATAGTGCAGGTCTGGTTGTGATTAATTCTTCCAGATTTTAACATCTAGAAAAGTCTTTATCTTGTTTTCACGTAAAAACAGCTTTTTTATTTTAAAATTATCTTTGTTTTTGAAAGATATTTTTGTTGAGTATAGAATTCTGGATTGATTGCATCTTTTTCTTTTCTTTTAGTTTTTTGAAGACACCTCCATAGTTTACTCGCTTACATTGCTTGCAACTAAAAGTCTGCTGTCATCTTTATCTTTGGTCCCATCTATGTAATGTGCTTTTTCCCTCTGGCCACTTTCAAGACTTTCCCTTTATCACTAATTTCAAGGAATTAGATTATAACATGTCTTGATGCTGTTTTCTTTAGAACTTTTAAACTTGGGGATTGCCAAGCATCTTAGAATTGTGAGTTTATAATTTTCATTATTTTTGGAAAATTTTCATCCCTTATTTCTTCACGTATTTCTTCTGTATCACCACTTTCCTCTTCAAGGCATCCGATCCCATATTAGGGCACTTTTAAGTTATCCTACAGCTCACTGATGCAATAATCTTTTTTTTCCTGTCTATTTTCCATGTTTTATTTTGGATAATTTCAAATTCTATGTCTTCAAGTTCATTACTCTTTCATTTTTCATGTTGAAGGGACACCTGCATGCCCATGTTTACTGCAGCTCTATTTACAATAGTCGAAATACGGAACCAACCTAAGTGTCCATCGATGGATGACTGGATAAGGAAAATGTGGTGATATATACACAATGGAATACTACTCAGCCAGAAAAAAAGAATGAAATTCTGCCATTTGCAGCAACAGGGATGAGTCTGGAAAAAAATATTGTTAAGTGAAATAAGCCAGACAAAGAAAGAGAAATACTGCGTATTCTCACTTATAACTGGGTGGAAAGAAAGAAAGAAAGAAAGGATGGAAAGGACAGAAAGAAAAGAAAGAAAAGAAAAGAAAAGAAAAGAAAAGAAAGAAAGAAAGGAAAAGAGACCAAAACAATACATTGAACTTTCAGAAGTTGAAAACAAACCTAAGGATACTAGAGATGGGGGGATGTGGCGGGGGGTGGGGGATGGGGAAGAATAAGTTGGGTAAAAGGCATAAAGAAAAATCATGATTTGTAATAATAATATGCTTATAATAAACAATATAAAGTGTCTAGTCTACTTTAATACCTTCAAATGTATTTCCCATTGCAGACACTATAGTTTTCATCTCTGGAAATTCAATTTGTGTTTATAGTTATATTTTTCACATCTCCACTTAACATGACCAATCTTTCCTCTAGCTTACTGAATATTTAGAATACAGATATAATAAAAGCTTACATTTTTATCTACTAAGTTTATCATCTGCTTCATTTCTTTTTTATTTTAATTAACTCTTATCCTTATTATAAATTGTATTTTCTTGCTTCTTAGCATGCCTACTAAGTTTTAATTGGATACCAGACATTGTATCTTTTATTCTGTAGAGTATTTGATATTTTTGTATTGCTGTTAATATTTTTGAGCTTTGTTCTGGGACATAGTTAAATTACTTGAAAACAGTTGATGGCTGCAGTGCAGCCTTCTAACACCAAGGTTATAACTTTGGATCCTCATACTGGTCAGACAACCAAAAAAAAAAAAAAAACAAAAAAACCCCAGTTGATTATTTCGGTCCTTGTTTTTAAGCTTCACTAGGCAGCAGCATTTATAATCTAGGGATAATTTTGCCTCCTAGCAATGCAAAACTTTTCTACATACTCTATCTGATTTCCATTCTGGCATGTGAGAATGGGAACTATTTTTAGCATGGGAGATTGTTACTTTTAATATTTTCAGGTGGTTCTTTTCCTAGCCTCAGACAATTTCCTTATATGCATGTACAGATGAATACTCATCTGAAGACTAGTGAGAAACCCTGTGCACAACTCCAAAGCTCACTCTATATGCAGCTCTCCCCTTTCATGTATTCTGTTTTGTAAATACTAATTTCCTTGGCCTCCTCGCACTCCTAGCTCTGTCCCCTAAGGTCGACTTATCCTGAGTTCCTGTTCCTGCATCATGTCTTGGAAAGCTAGGGAACTTATAGGACTCACCTTTGTTTTACATATTTCAGGAATCACTGTCCTTCATTGTCTGATGCCTGATATTTTGAGAGCTGTTTTTTCATATATCATGTGCTGTTTTTTCGGTTGTATCAGGCATAAGGAAAAATCTGGCCCTTATTAATTTATCTTGGTCAGACGTTTGCAATTGGGTCAGAAATGGTGCAACTTTCGGCCGGCCCGGTGGCACACTGCTACAGTGCGCCGCTTGAGAAGCGTGGCAGCGCTCCCGCCGAGGGTTCAGATCCCACATACAGACTGGCCGCTCACTGGCTGAGCGAGTTGCGGGAGCAACACTGAGGGTTGCGATCCCGTTGCCGGTCCCGGTCCGGTACGGGCGCGACACTGAGGGTTGCGATACGTTGCCGGTCACGAAGAAAGACAAAAAGGAAAAAAAAAAAAAAAAGAAATGGTGCAACTTTTTAAGTCTTTATTTTCTTTTTTACTCTAGTCTTGTATTTTTTCACCATGCCATAAAATTGTTCTATGAATAAGTGTTTGTAGAACCTAACTATTTGCATATATGACTGAGTATTTTTAAAAAGCCTGATAAAAAGGTATTTTTTCTTTTGTAACTTCAGAATCCTTCACATAATCTAAAAAAGGATTGGTAAAGTACACTGAGATTTTAAATACTGACTTGTACGAATTCAAGGTACCTAAGAAAGATGTTACGGATTAATTTTGAAATAAAAAAACTGTAGTTATTTAAAATAAAATGTACATGTACACATATTAGGTTTTAAATCAGCTACTTAGGTTGGAGGAGGCAAGAAAGAAAAATAAAATAAAATATTTGATTTAAAAAAGCATGTATAGACCTTCTTGCTTCTGGCCTGGTGAAATTTTCCTATAATGGCTATAAGGATGTTTGATATAAAATCTTAGGCACAGTATGTTGTGGAACATGCCACGAAGAACCTGTAAAGTTTCCTTTGGCAGTGCTCCTAGAAAATGTAGTACTGTCCAGAAATGGCCAAGATGATTAAAAGCAGAAAAAAAGAACAAAAGGAGAAATAAAAACATCAAAAAAATATTGCAAAAGCTAAACAACTAAAAAAATACTGAAGGAAAAAATATGACCTGCAACCAGAGGAAAATCAATTATACAAAGGCTTTTCCTTTGGATTTATGTTAGTATTATTTAATAAGCAAAGTCTGATTCATATGAAAGAATCATGTTAGTTTTGACCTTAGTATTATAGTAACTTTTATGCTTGGGTGTAGAAGATTGTTGGTGTCTGTTGACAGCTACTGTGAATTAGTATTTATAATGCTGTGAATTCCTTATAAGTGACTTACTCATTTGCTATTTTGTAGAACATGTATGAAAAAAAAATAACTTCGGATTATAAACTCTATTCAAATAATGGCTTAAATTGGGGTCCTGTTCTGGACAAAGGAATTAACAATTCTACAAGTTAGAATTGTCCTGTCTGAGGTAAAAAGTGTGATTTGGCTCAAAAAGGACACAGAACATTAACCACATATTTTATCATTTTTGCTTTGACTTGGAAGAGAATTACTTCTGATATTCTCAAAGCAAAATAATATTAAATAAGTACTTCTAATTTCTATATCTTTCTTCTGATTCATACATTTAGCATACTGGAAATAGAATTATCAGATATTCTGCAGTTGTTTTTTCTTTATCTAATTTTTTTCAGTTCTCTTATTATCATGACTATGCAGAACATTACCTACTGTATATAAGAATTTTTGTTTTTATGAACATTTTAATTTTCTTAGATATTTTTAGAATAAAACTATGACTTAAAACTTGCAATAAAAATACCAAATATTGTAGTGCCTTGGAACCAGTTTACTCTTGCTTGTACTAAGTAGAAATGTAAAATATTAAAATTGTCTTAGATAATTTGCTAATTATATAGATACCACTTTTGTTTTTATTCCATTATTTGTTTAACTCATATGGTATGATTTCCTATACTTTGATCTTACAGTTTCAAGGTGAAAATTAAAATTTCAACTTTCTTTTAAGGGATTCTGAAGGGTAACAGGTAAGTCATATTTTGTGAATAGCAAAGAAAGGCTTAGATTTTGGAAAATCTGCTTGGGCACAGTAGTAATTGGGATGAAAATAGACTAATTATGTCAAATTAGAATGTTATAATTAGAAGTAAAGAATTAAAGAATATTTCACCCTTTCTTCAGTAAGTAGTGCAAACTGGAACTTTTTGCTATTAAACATGACTTTTATAAATGTATGTTCCAACAATTTTTAGTTAGTTTTTAATAGCTTTTTAGTATTTCCCCCTCTGATATGAATTTTAAGTTAAAAAAATTGTCTAAGAACACTAATTTAAAATGAAACTCTAAGTTTAAATTAATTGAATATTTTTCATTGAGATTAAAATTGTATGGTTCCATTAATGCATTTAAATATAGTACATATATGTAAACATAGATCTTGTTTACATATATAAACAATATTTCTTTCATGAAATGTTCAAAGTGCAATATTGAATTAGTGTATTCTATACCTGTAAAATGTCAGCAGGGTCTTCTTTAGCAGACGCGACCAACAAAGTATGCCCGTTGATGATTCCCTCTGCCAAGAAATACTTGAAGAGCAAAGGTGAGTAAATATTATATTTATCCTCTTCTGTAAAAAAGAAAAAAATTACAGTCAGAATCCTATCACATACCAGCAATGCACATAGTTTACAATTTTTCTCCTGAAAACAAGTACATGAGGTAGGGCAATAATTGTGTCTTCCTAAAGCACGGTTAGACAGTCTAAGAAACTTGTCAAGGTAGTCAATGAGAAGTAGGGACTTGTAACAGAGACTTTCTAATTCCAAAGATCATTCTCCAGCTACTACACCATTCTTATATCTACAAAACTTAGAGGATTATGTATGATCATAATATCAAGGAAATCAAAGAGTATTTTTTTTCTTTACTAAAATCCAGGGCATTTTCTCAGGCACTGCACCTAAAATGGTAATCTTAAATGGTCATTATGGCCTGCCAACCAGTCTGTAAAGTCACACCTCATATCTTTCATGTAATAATAATTAAGCACTTAATGTATGTGTAGTCTGATGATTACTGTTTATAAAATTTGCAAAAATAGTACTACATCTACTATCTGGTTTTGGGTTTAAAGTCCAACAATTATTTAAAACTGAAGATTTTAGAAGGCAAGTCAGGCATGAGGAAGTAACTGCTTCAGCTAAACTTGACCCGGTTACTAGAGGTGGGAAAGGAGGAGTAGGAGGATCGGGATTAGGGAGTAACTGGGTAACGGACACAAAGAATAATTACAATTTGTAATGATGAACCTGCTAGTAATATTGATTTGATCATCACATGTGATATATAAATACTGATAGTCAATTCAGTACCCTATAAATATGTGTAATCAATTACGTTTCAATTAAAAAAATTTAAAAAAGAAAAAAATTGAAGATTTTAATTTTATAGAGTCCTTAAATTTGTACTAAATGTTTTCCTGGTAAACAATCCATTTGCTTTTTATTACTTGCTCATCCCCCCCTTTCTTTCTGAATTTTAATGATTAAATAATGAATTAGTAGATTTCTTAGGCAAAAATTGTTATATTTTTGAGATGTCATTACATAATGAAAACAGCTTTAGTTTACCTTTGTACTCTTAATATTACTGATAAGCTACATGCCTATAATTTCATATCTTTCTTTTAATAGTTCGAACACAACAGAAAGACAAGAAACACAGGTAAATTGTCTAAAAAAGACAGTAGCCATTACTAATTTACTCATTAAATATTAATTGATTCCTATATCAGGCATCACTAATATTTATAAAAATCAAACTATTGAAAACATTCCTAAGGAGGTTTGAACTTGTGGTAATATCAACATGAAGTTATTGTACAAAACCTCCTGCAGCTATAATTATAATCCTGGTCAAATACCATTTTAAAAATAGCTATTGAAGGCACTGGAAAGCAATGAAAAGCAGGCAACAACAACCGCAGAGTTTCTTTTGAAAGACAGTAATCACGACATGTAAGAATTTCAAGTTTATGGCTTTTTTGCCTAAGAGTGTTTCTAATTTTCCTTAGCACTGGCAGCATTAAATCATATCCTTTCCAGCTTGAGGTGACAGAATTCAAAGTTCAGGGTTGTCAACATAGCTGAAAATTTAGGGTGAACATCCTGAAAATAAGAGAGCTGCAGAAGGATTGAGATCCTAGAATATTATTATCAACTGTGCCCAAACCCCTGGCAGACCACTAAGCTAAGCATGAGTGGGAAGAAGAAATAGCAAGCAGAAAAGAGAATGCAGGAGAAGTTAAAAGACAACTCAATCATGTGAGATTTGCATGTTTGCTACTTTTCTGAGAGCATACATTTCACAAACTGAGAACCTTGAACTGTGGAAGGCTGATGTCTTATTGACTTGAGTTGTGAGAGGACAGAACTCAAGGTTGAGAATCAGAGAAAGTATGAGTCCTAAAATCTGAGTATAAGTTCCGTTCAAATATTTAATTGTCTAGTAAACTATGTGATTGCAGTGGAGAACCATGATCAATCTAAAAAGGCAACATCTAAAAGCTGGAAAAATTGAGCAGAGATATCATCTGCTACATAGTATAATGAAGTGAAAGTTAATAATTAAGCATAGGCAAGTTAACTGTCTATTAGAACAAAAAAACCCCAGAAATCCTCAGAAAAACGTAATGTTATTCAGAGTCACTATAACACATTATTTACAATGTGCAATTTTCACCTCCAAATTACTGAATATGACCCATACTAATGAAAATTTTTCCTCCAGAAACTGACTCCAAATGGGCTCAGAAGTTAGATTTAGCAGAAAAAGATTTCAAGACAGCTATTATAAATACGTTCAAAGAATTAAAGGAAAGTATATTCAAAGAAAATGAAAGAAAAAGTAAATGATTTTACCTAAAAAATAAAGAAGAAAAATCAGTGGAAGAAAAACTGGACCAAAGAAAAGAAGAGAGAACAAATCAATGATACCCAAAACTGGTTTGATGAAAAGATCAATAAAATTGATAAACCTCTGGCTAGGCTGATAAAGAATAAAAAGAAATAAGCCAGAGATTACCAATACTGAGAATGACATAGAAAATTTCACTACAGGTTTTATAAACATTGAAAGCATTAATATAGTATTATGAACAACTCCATGCTAAAATATTTCACAACTAGAAGAAATGGAAAAACTCCTTGAAGGATACAGATTATCAAGTATAATAAAAGAAGAAATAGAAAACCAGAATTAATTTCAAATTTAAAATTATTCCTCCTTTCCCCTCTACACACACACTCTTCAGGCACAGGAAACTTGATTAGTAAATTCAATCAAACATTTTAAGGAAGAAACAATACCAATATTTAACAAACTCAGAAAAAAGGAAGACTCACTTTACAGGCCCATTACTACCCTAATACCAAAACCAGGAAAAGAGTAAAAAAAACCCTATAGACCATTACCTACAATTAAGGAAATTATAACAGTGCTACTTGTACTTTTTCAGAAAAGAGGAAAGGGTAGAAAGAAACACTTCCAAACTCATTTTATGAGGCCAGTATTATCCTAATACCAAAACCAGACCAAAATATTGCAGGAAAAGAAAGCTACAGACTAAAATGCCTCATGAACACATATGAAAATAATTCCTTAAATATCATAAAACCAAATCAGTACTATATAAAAATAATAATACGATATAGTATGACTAAGAGACATTTATCACAGAAATGCCAGTTTGATTAATGATTTGAAAAATTGGTAGAAAGAAACACTTCCAAACTCATTTTATGAGGCCAGTATTATCCTAATACCAAAACCAAACCAAAATATTGCAGGAAAAGAAAGCTACAGACTAAAATGCCTCATGAACACATATGAAAATAATTCTTTAAATATCATAAAACCAAATCAGTACTATATAAAAATAATAATACGATATAGTATGACTAAGAGACATTTATCACAGAAATGCCAGTTTGATTTATGATTTGAAAAATCAATGTACCATAATAACAGATTAGAAAAGAAAAACCACATGATCATTTCAATAGATACTGAGAAAGCATTTGACAAAATTCAACAGCAATCCCTAAGAGAAATTATAGCAAACAAGGAATAGAATGAAATCTCTTCAACCTGGTAAAAGGACCTACAAAAAACCTATAGGTAAAAGCATACTTAATGGTAAGGTGGAATGTTTTCATCCTGAGGTTGGGAAAAATGAAAGTATATCCAGTGACCATTTCTAGTCAATATTGTACAGAAGGTCTCAGTCATGTGTCTTAGTCTGTTTCTGTCGCTTATAACAAAATATCTGGAACCGGGTAATTTATTTTTTTTTATTTTAAGAAGTCCAAAGTCCAGGGAACACATCTGGTGAGGTGACACAACAACAATGCATGGTGTCACATGGAGAGAATGGCAGAGCACAGAGATTAACTTCCTCATTCACTCTCTTTTTAAAACCACCAGAACCACACCCATTACTCCAAGAATGGATCATTCTATTCACAAGGGTACAGTCCTTACAATACAATCAACTCTTATAATTACCATAATAGATTTCCTACCCTCTTAACCCTGTCACAGTGGGGCTTAAGTTTCTAATACATGGACCTTAGGGGACACAATTCAACCCGCAGCACCATGTAATAAGCCATGAAAAATAAATGAAAGGCATACAGATTGAAAGAGATGAAGTAAAACCATTTTTATTTGCAGACAACATGACCACATGCTTAGGAAGTCTTAAGGAATCTACCAAAAAGCTACTAGGACTATAAGTCAAGGTTATCTAGGTTGTAGCATGGAAAGTCAATATATAAAAATCAACTGTACTTTTACATACAAGAATACTTCAAAAAGCTCATTGAAAAATAAAATTAAAAGATAAAATGATTCTTTCCATGAACTTTTTGAAGTACCCTCATACTAGTAACAAATACTAGAAACTGAAAATTTAAAAATTCTACTCATTATCAATTCCAAAAACATTAAAAATTTTGGATGAATTTAACAAAATACATGCATGAACTAGCTCTACATAGAAAAGTACAGAATACTGTAAGAATAAGTAAAAAAGACCTAAATAAATGGAGAGATGTATCGTCTTCATGAGATGGAAGACTCAAATCTTCAATCTGACCTATAGATTTAATGGAATCCCAATGGAAATCCTAGAAAGGTTTTTGAAGAAATTGACAAGCTAATGCTTAAATTTACATAGAAATCCAAAGCTCATACAATAGCCAAACAAATCTGAAAAGAACACAGAGGACTCACTATTTGATTTCAAGACTTGTTGTAAAGCTACAGCAACCAAGGCAATGTGGAAATAGCAAAAGAATAGTAATGTGGATCAATGGAAGAGAATAGAGTCCAGAAATAAGCCCACATACTTGGTTTTTGACAAAAGTGGAGAATTGTTTTTCAACAAATGGTCCTGGAATAACTGAATATCCACCTGCAAAAAACAAATGACAACAAAAGCCTCAATCTTACCACCCAGATATTAACTTTAAATGGATCATAGAGACCTAAATGTAAAAGCTGAAACAATAAAGCTATTCGAAGAAAATGTAGGGAAAATCTTTGTAACTTTAGAGATGGCAAAGG